ATTAGATGACACTCAAAGGGAATTTTGTGTCTTTTTAAATGTCACTTAACGACTGGTTAACAGATTGGTTAATGACAGGTACTGGATTGACACATTTTGAAAGTTCAAGTACTGAATTGTCATGTTTTAAAGTTTAGGGACCAAAGTGGCACTAGGCCCAAAGTATAGGGTACTAATTGAGAATTTCTCCTTTTTTTAACCCCAATTTTGCCATTTTTATGACTCCTTGTATTTAGTTTCTTCAACTTTGTATCAAGCACCTCATTGATAGGGATTCCATATGAACGTTATTCATTGTTCTCAATAAGTTCCACTTGTACATTACCATTATGGATTTGAATAATAAAGCAAATCTGATCACAATTAGATCATGTTGTCCAAGATAGAGGATCTGATCCACCTGTGTAGATTTAAGTTGAGGAGGAAGAGGGAATGCCTCCATCATTGGGCTTAAAAGAAGGTTTATGGGAGTAGGGGTTTAGAATCAGAATTGGAAAGGGCCATTTCGATTCAAAACGTTTGGTTGGGCGGAATTGGAATCCCATTCTCATTCTTGGTGGAATGGCATTTTGATGGAATGACCATTCCCTATCCCTCCATAGGAATGAAATCCCATTCCAACTGAATTTAACCCACATTTCAATTTCTGTATGAACCAAACAGGCTATGGGAATAGACCGTTCTGATTCCGATTCCAATTCTGATTCTGACTGCGAACCAAAGTGCTTTGGAGAAGACATCCCCCCTTGAAGTAGGAACAAATGCTAGAGGATATTGTCAGGGAAAAAGCATATGCTAGAACTAAAGAGATAAGAAAATAAGGGTCCATTTGATTCATATTCGGAATTGGAATTGGAATTGAAATCCTTCAGAATCAGAATCGGAATGGTCTATTCTCGTAGTTTGTTTGGTTCAGACAAGAATGGGAACGGAAATTAGAATCAACATGAATGGGATTTCATTCATAAGGGAGGGGCAGGAAATAACCATTCTCTCAAACGGGGGGGGTGTCATTCCAGTAGGAATGGGAATGAGATTCCAATTCTGCTCAACCAAATAATTGGAATCGGAATAGCCCATTTCGATTCCGATTCCAGGCCCCTATTCCCACAAATCAAATGTGGCCTAAAAGTTGCAAAGCATAAGAAGAAAACTGTGGCATGATGATGATGGAGATAGTGAAACCGATGACTTTAGAGGAAAAAGGACCAAAAGGTTACACAAGAATCATAGTCTCTCTGGTTTATTAGGTGGCAATGAAAATAGAAGGGAGAAGAAATCTACATGTAGACCAAAGAAGCACCCTTCAAGCTCAATGATGATAGCAACAACAATGATTGTGGAAATGACTTGGAGAAAGATCAGGATGAAGTGGGCTCACAAGGAAAAGACATGATCCAATATAGAATCTAATGCTTCATATTCTTCGAGTGATCAAAGCAGGGCTTTGAACCAATGTCAATTACCTTCACATATATATATATATAAATGGCTGAACTGGTTTGGGGAAAAAAATAAAAATTGAAAGAATCAACAAATCCACTGTTTTGAAAATTGTACAACTTTCTTAAACCAATGCTATTGATAATTAACAAACTTTACTCTTACTATTTAACTATTTTCTTAAACCATCATAATGTTTGTGACAATTGACTAGGTCTACCCTCGATCCTCCAACCACATAATCAGGCAACAATTTGGTCCTCAGTATGCCAAAATGCTTATCGTGAACGGAATCATCCTTGCCGGTCCAAAGCAAGAGAAAGAATTGCCCAGAATGATTTCAGATATGAAGTTGGTTGATGTTCAAGCGGACGGTAGTACAAATTCGAGAGAAGTTGTAGTGGCGCGGCTGGTGGCTTGGTGATAGTGGAAGTGGGTGAGGTTGAAGAACATATGTGGAGAGAAATAGAGAGGGAGAGGAGAGAGTTGGGCATGTTGTCAGAATCGTTGGTGACGTTGCTGCCTTTTTAAATACGGTCCAAGATTACCTCACACTGGTTTTCAATTTACAATCTCTGTTTCCTTGTTCTTCAGAACACGGTGATGCCTTTTCGATTCGTCAGCGCCAGCCAGAGTGATTCAAAATCGGAGGGCATGACCTTTGATGGAGTTGGATGCAAGCATCATTCAATGTTCGCTGCAGACTCGAAGCGCACCAACAAGGGATGCTTTGCCACCAGGGTTTTCTATAACGATGCAGTCTGGTTTTCTGAACACCAAACGTCCCCTTCTCCAAAACCTCAGCCAACGCCCTTAACAAATCCTCCAGAGCGAAAGCCCTACCAACATTTCAAAAGAAGATGAACTTCTTGTTTGAAACAACAGGTAGAGTTTTGGTCTGTTGTTGTCACTTGTCACCACCATTTGTTGTTGGAGCTGCTACCTCCGCTTGTCGGTGGCACCGCTTCGAGCACCCTTGGCTTTAAACTTCTGCAGACTCATAAAGGAATCGAGCCATTCAAGCACCCTTTGGCTTTAAACTTCTGTAGACTCATTGGAATCGAGCCATTGAGGCACCATAACCAGAATACCAAATTTGGGATTTTGGGCTTGGATGGGTATGAAAATGGCTTTGTACCATTGGCTTGCATCTGCTGCTGGTGACTGAGCTATTGGCGGTGACAAAATCCGACCAATCCACTATTGGAGTTGATAGAAAGTCATAAAGGACGAACAAGTACAAGGACAAGGGTTCGAAACCTTACTTTCAAGGACGATTCAAGTCCCTAATGACTACTCGTTAGATACAACTCATCGCCACTGGAAAAATGGAACGACCGTTTCTCCTCCACCACTGGAAAATGAACTTTCCGGTTTCTCATATTTGTCTTTCCTACGGTTTTTCTCTAAAAAAAGGGAAAAAAATTACATTTCATCCCTTTCCTTTCCAATTTAACGGCGATAGTAGGGATGGTTTAAGATAATAATTAAATAATAAGGATAGAGTTTGTTAATTAGCTAAACAGTAGGAATACTTTAAAAAATTTATCTTTTAATTAATATAGACAAAAAATATATTTTTCATAAATGACAGGTGTAGGGTTGATAGGGTAATCTATTTTTTTTTCTTGAAAATTTGATTTTTTTCCATGTAATTTTGAAACAACCAATGAGAGATTCATTTTCCCTTTCTAGCCCTCTTATTACAAAGTAATAAAATTCAATTTACATTTAAAAACGACTGACGTAATAGAAAATTCAAAATAAATTACTATTTTTTTATTTTAATAATAATAATAATTAAAATTATTTACATTAATATTATACTAATAACAAATTATAACGACATTATTAAATATTTTAAACTAGGGGTGAGCATTTAGTTTATTCGGTTATAAACTGAACTTTTAAAAATCAATACCGTTTTTTTAAACCGAACCCAAACCAAACTTATACAAAACCGAATCCATTTTTTTTTATTATTTCGGTTTGTTTGGTTAAAACCGAAATCCATTCACTGTGGTACTTTACTAGTCAGAGAGAGAGAGAGAATTTTCTGCCAGAAACTAATACCTCAGCTACAGTGTCCAAAAACTGTAGCAACTTTGGTTTTGTACGATTTGAGCTGGCTTAAGCTCCTTTTATAGAATACCACTCCTATTTGAGGAGGGAGAAAAAGGAAACTAAGAAAGAAAACTTTTCCTTGTTAAACTAACTAGTGAATAGTTTCGAAGTGGGTGCCTATTTTAATCACTTGATAGATGGGATCAAATACTTGACCTATCGAAGATAAAAGAAAAAAAAAATGATGGATGTAAGTACTTGAGTGATGTAGTTTAGGCACTATACTTGAACAAAATTCAGAGATTTCATTTCACCGGTGTTGAATAAGGTAGGTCACAGTCATAGTTGCAGGCTGGACTTTGAGCAGTTGAACTGGAACTCTTCGCTGCCACAAGGCTAACTGATGTCACCGATGGTAGGAATGTAGGATAATGGAAGACGAAGCCCAAAGGTGAAGGTTGCCCCGATAGCCCGACGCTAGAGTTTTAGTTTTACGAAGGGAACTGGGAGTCTGGGAAGACGAAGGTTGAAGAAGGCGAACTTGAATTGCGCCCGTATTGGTTTTGGCCACCTAAGGAATAAGGAACACTGAACTCTTATAAGTGCCCTAGAAGTTCGGTTTAATCGGTTAATTGAACCACTAAGTGCCCTAACTGAAAGCGAACACTGAACTCTTATAAACCGGTATTTACACCCAAAACCAAACCAATTCCCCGAACTAACCGAACTGAAAACAACGAACCAGAAATTTTGGTTCGGTTATTTTGTTTTAACCGAACTATGCTCACCCATATTTTAAACAATAATATACTTAGGTCAGAATCACACTTGCAATAGGGTTGAGGGGTTTTATAGGTTGGTGGAATTAGACCTGTTCATGGGCCGGGCTTTCACTTTGTATTAATAGATTTTTTTTAAGACCCGAGTCCGAGCCTGGCCCTCATAAAAAGCCCAAAGCCCAGGCTTGGGCTCGAGCTCGAAATTTAGCCCATGCTGTTACTACTGCTGAAGCGGCTGAGTAGAGATAGAGAGAAATTAAAAAAAAGAACAAAAATGTATATATTAAATTATAAATATATATATTTCAATAAACATTATATTATTTATATATTTTATATAATATATAAAATACATATTATGTATTTTATAAAATATATAATGCTGAATCGGACCGAGTCGGGCTCGGGCCGAGCTTTTTCGACAAATCCCGACCCAGCCCGAAACACAGTCAGGCTTACTGTGTTAGGCCCAAGGTCAGGCCCGCAGGCCTAATTACATGATCAAGCCCGACCGGAGTGCGGGCCGGGCTACTCGGCCCATGAACAGGTCTAGGTGGAATGAGCACCATGAACTGCTATGCTATTTGTACTAGAATTTGCACTGGTATGCTATTTGTACTAGAATTTGTACTAATGCAAAATGAACTGCAAATAAACAGGGCCTCATTGTTTGTATCACGTTCACCATCGTACTAGAAGTTTAGAAGTGATAGTGGAACAAGAGACATAAAATTCACACGTTAGGAATAGATTCTTTCTTCTTCCCATGAATCCCATCTATGTTTTTCTTCGGCTTCAACAACTCCGAAGTCCGAAAAACAACATATGGTTGGAGATTGCCCAACCATGAAATTCCATTCTCTCTCTCCATCATATGAAGTGAAGAAAGGAAAAAAAAAACATTAAATATTTTCCAACAAAACCCTAAGTAAACCCTAATACTGCTCGGTCGTTTCTCCAAAAGTCTCGAAGCAGAAGCACATGAATGAAAAACCCACGCCGGTTATCTTTCGTAGCAGTCGGTTGTCGTCGTATTTTTCTTCGGTTGCATTCCCTTTGACAGGTTAGATTCGTAGGCTCTCTCTTCCTTTTTCGAGATAAGGTCTCGATATCTAGACTATAGGGTTTTACTGCGAATTCTGGACTTGTTATCTTTTTGTCTATAATTGTGGAATATGGAACGGAACTCTTTAGGGTTTTATCTTTATTGGATTCACTATATTTCCTTTTGTAATGTTGCATGAATATAATATACTTGAAGTCTCATCTGGCATGGTAAGATGAATTGATTTGACTTGACAAGTAACTATATTTGCAGCTTCTTTCTCAATCTGGCATTTTCTATCTGCTGCTTACTGTCGTTAACTGTTCTCTTCTAGGCACATCAACGGAAAAAAAATTGCTATAGACGATATAATAGTAATATCATGCCTTTGTTTTTCTCATTTCATGGTTGCCAATTAGGGTCATGTGCAATGGTAAGACTATGTGGTGGTTTGAACTCACCGTTAGTACCTGACCAAACATTTCTATGGGGATCCTTTTGCTTGTGCGGAAAGTATATAACTATTTGACATTTTGGTGTTCATATGCCTGTCTTGTGCTTCTCCTTTGAAGGTAATGTCTATTAAGAGCATAGAAATGAAGACCCCATCTCCATTATTTTCATCTTTCTTCCTCCGGTAGCAGTAAGTTCTTTCTCAGTCTGCATCCAATGCCACTGATTAAGAAGGAAAAGAAATATGATCAGCTCTGGAAATAATGCTACCTTCTTAGCCTTAATCCCAAAGAAGCTGGATAAGTTGGACATAGAGAAAGCATATGATTTGGTGGATTGGTTATTCATCCTAGAGGTTATGATGACACGGTGCATTCTTGGATCTCTGTCCATGTAACACCTCTTGATTTGCAAAAGCTTCGAACCCACTTCCTTTCCACCTTTGCTAATTTTATTTCCTGTAGCGTTACAATAACTAGTTTTTCTCTCCTTAACAAGTCCTTAATCACCCTTCTTGCACTACCCTGCCCTCCTACATTCCAACTTATGATCTTTATAACTTCTCTTAGAAAACCCTACCCTTGTTCTTACAACTACCTACTTAGGGCCTTTTCTTCTATTCCCCCCTCCAGTAATTCAATATCACCCTCAACACTATAGATTAGTTTCTCAACCTCTGACCTCTTCTTTATTCTGTTATTCTTCTCTTCACTCTTCATAACACAGACTCTCATCTTTTCAGCTCCTCTTATTTCTTGATCCATCTTATCTGCTCCCTTATCCACTGGAGCAATGTTTTTGAACTGTCGTTGACCCGGACGGTCGGACCGTTTGGCCCGGAAACCGTCCAAGAAACCGGTTCTGTTTCACCCCTAACCCGTTCCTGGGTCAAAAACCGTTGACTGTCAGAAACCACTGACCCGGGCGGTCGAACCATCGATTCGTTTGACCCAGACAGCGATTCTTAGTTTAAGAAAGTTGCAGAGAGGAGAGAAAACACACGAACTCAGATCTGAGATCCAACACAAAGAGAGAGAGAGAGAAGCCTACAGACTTGTAGAGAAATCGATCTCAGATCTGCGTCTGTTGCCGCTGCCGTCACCGTTATCATCGCCGGTGAGCGTCGAATCATCCTCCTCCTCTTCCTTCTTCTTCCCTCCTTCCCTCCTTCCTTTCATATCTCTTCTTTTCTTTTTTTCCTTTCTCCTTCCTTTCTTTCTTTCTTTCTTTTCTTCTTTCTCAGCCGACAACAGTCTCTTCTCCAGTTCTCCTTTCTCATATAAATATTTGCCCTAATGCAAACTGTCCAAACCGTTTGACCCAGACAGTCGAACCGCTGACCCGGAAATCGGTAGCTAGAACAGTTCCGTTTCTGGGTCGGTTTTTAAATCCTTGCACTGGAGTGGACTACCTCATTCTTACCCTGTCCCAGGATTCCCCTCCCTTTTTTTTGATAAGTTCCCTTCCTTCCTATTTTCTTGGCCTTTAACTTGGACCCTCCCTTCTTCTGTTAATCCTTCATTTTATTTTAGATACCCAAAAAATTCACAAAAGGGGTTTTCTGGATAGCTTTTGAATTTGTGAATTGTCCGAGCTTGGAAGAAACTAAGCACTCAGATCAAACAGCGAACTAACCAGCAGATGGGTCACAGTCTGGGTTGACCAGTTTAAACGTTTGGTCTATACTAGTTCTCTGGATCTTTGAGTGTTCCTCTTGCATTTCTATATTATTACTTTGCCCATGTTTTAATCTTGACTTTGCATTTACTGTGTTCATCTATGTATTGGAAGTTAAACAAAAATAGTTTGTAATGCAAACTCTATTTTCTATTTCTTAGTTAAAATCCAGAGACATGTTTTTAGATATTCTACATCTTTCAGACACAATGGTTGGGGCAAGGCTTAGATGATAATGACAACACCTTTCAGACAAAGTGTTCTGTTATTACTGCTTATACACCTGTCTTTCTATTTAATTTGCTCTTCTTTCATGACTATTGTGGTATATTTCTTATTATAGTCACATGCTAGTTTTCCCAGATGGAGTGAAGTCTCTAATAATGCTTATGTTGTACTCTAATGCTCAGTTGCAGGGTTCATTTTAAAGCATATACCAACAAAGGCCTATCTTCTGAGGTAAGCGGTCAGGGCGCATTTTCTTACGAATTTCAATAGGTTCCTTTTGTACATTATCATATTCAAAAACAAAGGTTGGATATGAAGTCTTTTAGTTTGAATGCCTAAAATGTTCTGAAGCTGTACATCTGATCATCAATGAAATTCTTGGCCAGGCTTGATGATTTGGTTCTTGTTTCTGTTTGAATCGATAATTATGCATACATGTCATTTATTACCTTTTTAATCTTTCACATTTGTATCATTCTTTGATGCAATGCTTCAAACATATAGTTTAACTTTCATGTTTCTTATTGCCTTTTTCTCTTGCATGCTGGCAGAAACTTGACGCCATGAATGGAACATTTAATGGTCAGATTTTGGTGGAAAAGCTAGCCAAACTTAACAACTCACAGCAGAGCATAGAGAGTATCCACATGTGTTTTGGAAATAGTAGATAGTGTTCTCTCTCTCTCCTATCTAGTAGAAGGCTAACCAGTTGGTTGGTACCATTGTTGAAAGAGTTCATCATGCTCTATTGGATGAGTTATTCAATAAGGAGTTCCCACACTGAACTCCATTGGTACTTTTGTTACTTAATTTTCATCTTATATGATTGCTTTACCAATATTTGTGTTTTTTATCAAGTTAATAAAATCTTTTGATGTAGACATGGGAAAAGGGAATGAAGCCATGACAAATGAAAGCAAGTTTCTCTCAATTTCTCTTTCTTTCTTGTTTGATCATTAAAACATCAATCAGTCCAAACTCTTCCCCATTTCTATGACTTACAATCTTCTCCTAGTTCATTGCAATTAGAGAATCTAGATCTCTTTCTTTTTTGAACATTAGCAGATCAATGTTGTTAATTGATCTTCTGGTCAACTTGAATGATGTGTTCAAGTTACAGGTTAGAAGTCTAGCTTCTCTGATATAGTGTATGTATTTCCAAGGAGTGTCTATCTAACCCCTCATCCCATCCTATGTTCACTTGTGGGTCTCCTTCAACCTCCAGCCCAGAAGGATTTAAGTTGGAGGCATGCCTCCGTCCATGTAATAGAGAGAAAAGCACTTCCCTTATGAACTTACCTTCCCCATATACACCATTAGTATACTAAATCTCCTTCATTATTTAGAAAGTTTCATGTATGCCTGATCTATCTGGGTTCCTATGTTGCACTTATCAAAGTTGGGAACTTTAAAGAATTCAGTTTCTCTCATGGTTCTAAATACACCACTAGTATACAATATCCCCTTCATTATTGGCAAGACGTATCTTAGCAATAGGTTTACTTGATCTAAAGGTTAAAGATTTGCCTTCATTAGTGTTGTGGGGATTTTGAGGACTATCCCCTGTTGTGTAGCTCATTTTCCTAACATACACACAAAGGGGGAGATTTACTCAAAAGTCAATATTGGTAACAGAGACGCCATCATTACTCAAAATCTCACCACTCCATTCTCTTGTTATTTTTTTATCAGTCTCCATGCTCTTGTTATTACAAAAGGAAAATAATTAATGGGACTTTGTCTCTTCTCTGGTGAGTGATTGAGACAACCCTCTTTCATGTCCCTAACCCCAAACAGAAACCCTTTCACTTCACATCCCTAACCCTATAAGGCAGTGGTCTTCTTGGCTCTATTTATAGGCGAAGGGGAAATCAGGAAGGCTAATGGAATGAATGTATGAATGTATGAGTGTATGAATGATTGAATGAATGATCCCCTTGTTCGAAGGAAGGGCCTCTATTTATAGGCAAAGGTGAAGGCCTATACGTGCATGGAATGAGGAATTTCAGAACTTTCCTAAGGGGGTTAAACTCAAATCCCTAGGCTGATTCAATGGGGACATGTGTTGGATTGCAGAGTAGGGACCAACTACTGGCCTTTGCAAGCTGTTGTTGTCACCCTTTCACAATCTTACCACATGCCACATGTGGGAAGCTTTTGCAGGGTGTGCGTGCTGTATGGCGTTTCTTGCTTTTCTGTCCGTGGGTATGCACAAGCTTCTCCCATGGTCATAGCTATCTGTCAATCACTATAGTGGCCGGCTACAACTAGTGGCTTTGCTTTTATTGAAATGCCTTAGTAGATAACCATGGCTCTTTTAGAGGTGAGCATGCTTGTGTATGTCTGTGGTTTAAGATATTCTTTTGCATTACCATGTGCATATGTGAGTCCATCCTCTCAAAAATCGAAAGCCTTTTTTGCAATTCTCACCTTCCAATCCATCTTCAAGGCTCACAACATATGAATTTATCAAGTTCCTCAATGTTGGTTTCTGCTGTTATCACTGATGGAAAGACTGCAGTTAGCTGTTATTTTCTTCTCTTTTGCATTGCCACTGCCAATTATTGGCCGAAGCCTATCATCTTTGATAGTTTGATTCTTCATGTATGTTTTTTTTTCTTTTTTCCCCATTATAGCTGAGGAAAAAACTCAATATTCAGTAGCAGAGCATGCAATGTTTGTTCATCTCTATCTCCGATTGTCTTCCTTTCATTATAGGCTGGATACCCTTCCTAATCCCTCCCCTCTCTCTCTCTCTCTCTCTCTCTCTCTCTCTTCATGTTCCTTTGATGCTTTTTTTAATTTCTCGTCTGTCCCATTTATCTTCCACTTTCGCCACAAATTGTTTTGGTTTTATGCCCATTTGTCAACAAAATCATAGAAAAAATAGATGTGCACAAATCAGTTACCTACTAAAAGATGGGTTGAGCCCAAACTGATTTAAAAACCTAACCAAATCGATTTGAATTTGGTTTGGTTCGGTTCAGTTAATGGAAATAGCTAAACCGAAATTTTGGTTATGTTCTAAAACCAGTCTGAACTAAACTGAACCAACCAAATGAATGCCCCTACTCAACAATGATTTTTTTTTTTTAAGTTTTCTAGAAAGTTGAAATTGAAACTTAATGTCACTTCTCTTGTACTGTAAATTGGGGTGGGGTGGGAGGAGTTAAAAAATTTCTTGGTTTGTCTAGGTTGTGGTAACAGTAGTCTGATTTCACAATTGGGTTGTGTCAAATAGAACTTACTGAAATCCAGTTAATTTTTAATCTTATCCAAGTTATCAACGCAAATAACTTGTCATCTTATCCATCTGGATTAGACATTTCTCCAGACTGGATATTGTTATTTTAAGCAATCCAAACAATTTTTCACTTGGTTAGATGGATAGGGTCATCTAATTTGTTTGCCCCATTTATGGTCCATTTGGTAGGAGTCTCCTCATGCTTATAGTAAAATTGTTAACCTTGTCCATCTTGTTAAGTTAGATTAATTATCATGAAACTCTTGCCTCTTTTGTGGCTCTGTCTACCTGTTAATATGGAGCTTTGGTTTAGAAAAAAAGATTACTTGATTGACTAATGGGGTCATATTTTGTGGAATCAAATGAGTTTATGCAGTTCCAGTGTTCTTTTGACCATTTTCCCTATCACCACAGACGAGCCATCTGTTCAAGATGGTTCTAGAGAAGCAGAGGTTTAGCCCCTTTGTTGTTACCTTGCAGATATATGGTATTGGCATCAACCTTACAGTGTGATGCCAATTAGTCAACTGACTGGTCAGTTGATTCTCATAAAAAAAAAACTGACTACTCAGTTGAGATCAAGGTTTGATGTATCGAACTACCGATATGATACCCCGTGTTGTATTGTATCGGCAGGGTTCTGATACACCTTTTTAAAGGTATTTTCAGGAATCCTTTTGTTTTATTTATTAAATGATATATATAAATAATTTTGAAAAAACTAAAAAAAATAAAAAGTGAATAGTTTAAAGCACTGATACGCACTTGCTGATACATAGAGGTGTATCGATACTTTGAACCACGGTTCAGTCATAAAAAAAAACCTGACTAGTCAGTTGAGGGCCAGATTAAATGCATCACTCACTAGTTGGTCAACACTCATGTTGTGGTTATCTAGGATGAATAAGTATCAACTAGGTCAACTAGTCAATTAATGATTAGGTAACCTATTCAACCACAAAATCATTTTAAATATTTATTTGGTTGTTTTCCTATTATTTGAAACAATATAGGGTCTTTGTATGTTGGTATACTCATGAGGTTGCTTTAAGTATTTGTGATAGAACATGATTGGATGATTGTATATAAAATAGAAAAAAAGGCATAAAATAAAAGAAGGTAGTGGATGAATTCTTTTAGCTTCTTCCAAACAGTGGTGTGTTGATATGGAGTTGCCACAAACATGCAACACATTGGGTAGTTGAGGGTGTACTCTTTTTGGTAAACAAAGGCTTTTATTCCCTATCCGGCCTAACTTCTTACATGGTTGCAATCTATATCAGCTTATTTATGAGATTGCATCAATATCATAAATTTAGAGCATTTATTTTTTTTCATTAACTAGTTAGTGCCAAGGCCCCAACTAGTCAGCTCATCAACTAGAGAGGCTAAAAAGAACAGTCAATTCCTCACCACATTGATAATACTGAACCCCTGGTGTAGTCATTGTTGAAGAGCATTAGATAAAGGAGATAGAGTGATTATTGTGTGTATATTTTGCGTCTGTGTAGTATTATTTATATCACCCTTTGAAGAAAAAGAAAAAAAGAGAAAGGGATTCACTCCTGACATCCAATTTCTTTATGTGGATCTTATATTGTTATTCTCAAGTGATATATTATTACATCTCAAAGGGTCCAGCAGAATTGTTCACTTTGCAGTGTTGGAGGTGAGTCAATCCCACATCTCCACAATTGCAAGTTCTAGGAGAACCAACCTATGAACTTTTTTCATCAAATTATTTGGGAGGCAAATAGGCCTCCAAATAATTGTTCTAGGATTCATGGTTGCTGCTTGCTATGGAACCTTGGAACCTAGGAAATTGTTCTAGGGTTTATGGTTTTTATTCAAAAAAATCCATTGCCTAGGTGGCTAGGTGATAAGGCATTCCCCTGTTGCCTAGCCTCACTCAATGCCTTGAAAAGTATACCTCTAGGGTTCACTCCCTTGCTTTTACAATCAACAAATCAAAAGATAGCCTTAACATGTGGAACAATGAGTTTGCATGGTCACAACACTTTCTTTTGACCCTCCAATAAAACATAATATGCTATTAATCAAATGAAAAACCAATTCACCCAGTGAGTGCTTGTCTGATTAATTTGGTTTCAATATGTGCACATGGTCACAACACTTATGACCTGCGAATTAAATAAAGACATGTTATTAATCAAATGAAAAGCCATAGTATCCAGTGAGTGCATCCTGGTGTTGCTACTCCAAATGACACAATAACAACCTGCTAACATATGAAAAAATAGAGATTCTACCTTACTATGACAATTTAATAATACCAGGTAGCATAACATGTTGAACGATGAGTGCACGACCACAACACTTTCATGTGACCTTTTACTGAAATACAAGCATGCTATCAATCAAATGAAAAACCAACTCACTGAATGAGTGCAAGCTTGGGATCTATCAAAAAAATGAGTGCAAGCTTGGTATCCAGTGAGTGCATCCTGGTGTTGCTACTCCAAATGACACAATAACAACCTGCTAACATATGAAAAAATAGAGATTCTACCTTACTATGACAATTTAATAATACTAGGTAGCATAACATGTTGAACGATGAGTGCACGACCACAACACTTTCATGTGACCTTTTACTGAAATACAAGCATGCTATCAATCAAATGAAAAACCAACTCACTGAATGAGTGCAAGCTTGGGATCTATCAAAAAAATGAGTGCAAGCTTGGGTGATTTGGTTTCAATGAGTTCACATGGTCACAACACTTTTTTTGCAATCCTACAATAAAACACAGAAATGCTGACAATCAAACGAAAGTGTTCCTTTCTTTTCTTTTCTCTCTTGAAAAGAATTCACAATAACCTTTCTGCAATTTGAGTTCTACATTTAGGTCAACAGTGTTTTTAATTCATTTCATGTTCATGTCCATATCTCTTGGTGTTACCTAGTTGTTATGCTTAACAGAGTGAAGCTTTATCCCACTGGTGTATCTTTCACAGGAAGAAAGCAAAACAAGTTGTTGAAACATGGGAGAGACAATTCCATTGTTCCCCTCGAGAGCAGCGGTTGTCTTTCCTGTATCTTGCAAATGATATTTTGCAAAATAGTAGGCGAAAGGGTTCAGAGTTTGTTGGTGAATTTTGGAAGGTTCTTCCAGATGCTCTTAGGGATGTAATTGAAAGTGGGGATGAGTTTGGGAGAAATGCTGCACTGAGACTGGTATGATAAAATGCACTTTTTTATTCTTTTATTTTCATGTGTCAGCAATGTTGCTTAAGTGGATCTTTTGTATTCCAATTCTTGTTTTGAATCAGGAGTTTTTCCCCATGTAGTAGAGCACTATTCTGGAAAAATATTAGAATTCGTAAGCTAGAGCATGGAACTTTGAAGAACTACCACAGTTCCTAAATGATGGAGCTTTGAAGAACTACCATAGTTTCTAAAGAACCTTAGAGGTAGTGCTGCAAACACTTCCAACCAGGTTAATCAAATTAAGATTTCTGGGTTCTGTTAAGCTTGGTTCTTTGGGATAGGGGTTATGAAAATAGCATTCATATTTCCATTGGTCACTCGATCATAGAATTCCATGGCAGCTTGACAATTCTAATGTTTTCTTTTGCAGCATTCTTGAACTCTGTATCATACGAAGAGCTAGAGTCTATAGTCATTTCCTTATTAGCGATCCATTAAGTAGCAGAAGCCACTGAAACCCATCATCCTGTGGGAACAGTATACTAGTTTTTATTCTTAGTTGATATCACAGGGTATCGAGTATGGAACTTATTTAGCATAAACTTGCTTGAACTTGATTTGTTGTGCAGTAGGAATTGAAAAAGATCTCTCTTTTTTTTGATAATCAAAAATAGAAAAGGATTTCTTGATCAAGGTGCCCTTTCTAGCATAAATTTGGCATAAGTGTACAGTGGAATCGCCAAGTCATAGGTGTGTACTTGAAGTATGAGCTTAAACCAGAAATTCTAAGGATTCAAAGAATTCTTTGTTAAGAGATATAAATCCATCTTGCAGCACAATCTGGAACATTGTGTGGAGGACCCACCAACAAGGGAGATATTATGACTGACACAATGACCCGTTGCATGCTGTAAGATGGATTTTTACCTGCATACACTTTGTTTTTTTTTTAAGTCTCTATGTGTATTCTTAGCATAGATTGAGGAGGATGTCACCCATAGAATGAACAGGATGGGATAAATGGAGTGCACCCGGAATTTTGTGTTATAGGAAAATATCACTCGGTTAAAAGGAAAACATTATAGAACAGTTTAAAGGCCAACAATTTTGTATGGAGCAGAGTGTTGGGAAGTTGAGAAACATCTATGAACAAGTGTGGCACAAATGTGGATGTTGTGATGGATGAGTAGTAAAAGTAGAAAAGGATAGAATCAAAATTAACTTATTTGATATAACCTAGGAGTAGCTTCATTAGGTGATAAAATGAGGGAAAGTAGACTAAGGTTGTTTGGACAAGTGCAGAGAAGACCATCTACAGCACCTGTAAGAAGTGATCTGTTGGAAGTTAAGGGGCTAGGAGAACTAGGGGCAGACCAAGGACATAGGTTGAAGTAGTGAGAAATGATTTAAAGGGTCCATAGTTCAAAAATGGATATGACACTGAATACAATGGAATGGAAGAACAATATCCATGTAGCTGACCATATTGTTGGAACAAGGATTAAATGATGGTGATGATTTGTGTATCCTTAGCATATTTCTTTGATGACATTATCTTGTTAATAATGTCTATACAATAATATGTTTTGCTCTTTTCTGTGCTATCTGCGAAAACCCTACCAGCTACCTATTTCTATTCTTATATCTATGTTTGTCCACCTTTCTTATTTGTTCATAAAAAAGTTAGTCTTTGCAGTTTTGTCTTCCTTACCATTTGGTAGTTAATGGGTTTAATTGGCTATAGCATAACCAGTGTTTTTGCCCCTCTTCTGTTTGTTTATTGCTACATTCTCCATGTTTTGACCCAGATTGATATATGGGAAGAGAGAAAAGTTTTTGGTTCCCGGGGGCAAATTCTCAAGGAAGAGCTTGTGGGAAGGAACTTGGAAAACAACAATAGAAGTGGGAAAAGTTCAGCCTTCAAACTGGTCAGTAGCTTTATCCATATGAGAATATTATGTGTTTCTAGGGGTGATGCATATTATTATTGCTGTTGTTATTGTTATTATCATATTTGTTGGTTTTGTTTTTGTCAACCAGAAACAGTCCATTGATGATACACTGGAAAAAATAATTTCGAGTTATGAAGTTGTTTATGATGGCTCTGTGGATGAAGAAGCTCTGTTCAGCAAATGCAGGACTGCTATTAGTAGTGTTGAGAAAGCAGAGAAGGAATTTGGCAGCAATTATTGCTCGGGTATTGCTTAAGTTGGTCAAATTGTTTACTTCTGTTCTTTTGAATCATTCTCTTGATTAGGAAACATACTCTTGTTGGGTGTTCCTAAATGTGGTGTTCTATGACATTTTTATCTTGCTAGGCATGCATTGTTGCATAAAACTAGTTTTGAAGATAATTATTTTCATTGAACTCCTTTTTACTATTATAAAAAAGTACGAGGTGCTTTCACATCTATTGCGATAAAAGCCTGACCAAAGGTATTTCAGTGGCAGCCACATAATTATCAAAAGCCCAAATTCTAAAATTTTCTTTACTTGATTTATCCATTTATCTCACAATATATCCTGATATATTGCAAGAAAATGTAAACTATCAACCAATATACCATAGTATTAGCTATTTTTGGAAGCTTGTTTAGTGGGAAGATTCCTTGACTTAGATCTTAACGAAATTGATGTGGAAGCATGGGCGATAATTGAGTGGAGAAAGAAAGGTTTGCAAAGGGTAAGAGTGTTATATGCAGGTTTATTTCTGTTTATGTTCATGAGAAAAGAAGAGATAGAAGATGTTTTGAAGGAAGAAGCTAGAGGAAAATACAGTTAATTTAGAGCTGAGATTGGGAAGATGGTATCCCATGATAGGGCAAGTGAAAAACACTTAAGGAAGAAGCTTTGTTTAGCATATATGGGATTCTGCTGCATGCATGGTGTGTTCTCTCAAGTCCATCGGAGAAGCCTATGGTAAAGGAAGTATGATTTTCGCAACAAAGGATGGGATTACCTTTGATGTGCAAGAGTTCTGGTGGAAATGGAGAACATGCAAATAATATCTTCAAAGTTAGATTTGTTCTTCGTAGGTGACACTTTCGAAGTCAAGATTGTTATAGAAGGTGAGTATCCCACCTTTGAGGTTAGAATGACACTAGAGGAGTTGCATGATGGTTTAGGAAGGGGATGGGAGGTAGAGAAGATGAAAATGTGTAATAGGGCAAAGGAAATTGAAACGTTAGGGGGAGGTAGTGGTGTAATGTAGGCCAGGCCGGGCTAGCATGACCCACGTTTTGTGAGCTGCATACATTGTAGTGGGTTGTGCTGGGCTGGCCTGTGGGCCTGGTGGGCTGTGCCTTCTTGGCACGAATTCCCCCAAGAGAGAAGCCAGGAATGGCCCAAGGGTTTTTTTTTTTGGGTCAGATCACATGTCAACACGATTTTTTAAGAAAAATTGAAAAAAATCTTCAAACTTTATTCCATATTAAATAATAAAATGAAATTGAAAAAATTACAATAAAATAGTATAGTAAAATTGAAAATAAAAATTTGTATGCACACACACACCCACCCACCCACTTGGGCCATGCCAGGCCCGTGGGCCATAAGCCCTTGTCCCAACTCGGACTTGGGTGTTGTATTGTGCCAAGCATGGGTTGTCACTGTAGCTGGCTGGTCGTGCCGATGTGGCATAATCCGTTTTACATCTCTAGGGGGAGGAGGAGACAAGAGAAGGAAGATGAAATGTCTAAGGGGAAGGGCAAGGAGGTAATTTCAAGGGAGAGAGGAGGGGTTTTTCGAGGGGGGAAATATATTCAGCATGTACAACCAGGAACTATACATCAGAATGTGTTTTGGTTTTAGTGAATGGGAGTTGGCCCATTATAATATTGGGCTGACTGACTAAGTGGTGGGATGCAGTGGGAATGCGAGAAGTGTAATCTGGCTCGAGCTAATATCACATATGGTTTGAATGGTCTAGTCATCTAGAAGGGGGTCCGACTCATTCCAAAGAAAAGTTAAATGGGCTTGGGTCATTACTAAGCAAGGAAGGTAAAAAGAATAGGGCTTGGAAAGGGGAGGAGTATGTGTGGTGTTAATGAGATATATTCACAATGACAAAGATGCAAAGGAGAAATGGAAGGTCTCGAAGGATAAATGAGGCAAGTTCAAGATACTGATAAAGAGGATGGACTTTGGGTAATGAGGATCAGAAAACCCTGATGGGGACAACGGCTGCACTACATCAGGCTCCAAGCATATTCAGGTGGAAGAAAGTGACATCTTTGTCCTGTGATAAAGGAGGCAAGTTCAAGATATTGATAAAGAGGAAGATGGACTAGGTACGTTGAACAAATTAGAAGACTTGAACAATCAAAGATCTTCAAAGTGGTGAAAGGGTAAATGACAAGGTTGGAAATCTTTGAGATTTGAATTGGGAATTGTGGGGAAGCGAATTAGGAAAAAGGAAGGTAGGGGCGGTGGTGGAAGAGGGTGGGGAGGTGGCGACATTAATAGGGGAAATTGAAGAGGGGTTGCAGGAGAAAAATGGAGATTCTTAGGAGCAAGTTCCGGCAAGTGAGTTAAGGGTGGTTTTAAAAGGAGAAAGGGTACTAGAGAAGGGTGGGGCGAGTGAGGTGGGAAATACAACTCTACTTAAATAGGTGAGGGAGCCTTTCGAGTTCCAAGCAATGTTTTGAAAATCATAATTGTTTCGTAAATCGTAGAGAAAATTGAATTGCAAATCGTAAGATTTTTTCAATTTTTACAAACTTGTCAAAAAAATTGACTATAGATATGTTAAAAGGTTAAATATATATAGAAAAGTTATCTTGTCCCGTCTTTAATCCATATCTACCATATATGTACCTAAAACAATAGAAGCCCAAGATGATATAATCAAGTTTGACTTGAAAATCAAATAAATTCACATACAATGACTCATTGACCTATATATGATGCAAAATAAAGTCAATGATGGCCTTAAATAATGTTAATAAATCATTTTCTAGTAAGTGCTTTAAAACAAGTGTCCCTTGATAAAACTAAATATGAACATAAAAATGACAAAGTAGAAAGTTAATTTTTAATTGAATTTATTTGAATCACAATGAACCCTTGGAATCATGTAAATAGTATGATTTATGAATCAAATCATAGGATTCAAACAAAAATCTTTTTTTTTTTTTGCAGAAAAGGATTCAAACATAAGATTTGAATTGAGGCCTTTGGGGTTTGTGATTCAAATCATGAATTGTATCATAAATCATAAGATTTTGAAAACATTGGTTCCAGAGAAGGTGATTCTAACTCAAGATGGATAGAAGAGCAAGTCACGAAAGTCAAGATTTTTATTGTAGTAGGAGAAGGAACTTTGGTGTTGACAAAAGAAAGAGAGGAGGAACAATAGGTGGGTAGGAGATGGAATTTCATGACACATTTCAGAGGAGGTGGAAGAGCCAACAAAATAAGAAAGAGAGGGAGGACAAGATTGAGGGAACTAATAAGAGGTTATATTAGGAGAAAAAAGAAAACTATAGAATGAAACATTTGATAGAGGTTGAAGATGCAGAGGAGGAGATTTAAGGAGGAGCGCAAGGGAGAGTTGTGGCATTAGATGAAATGCATGAAGTACAAGGAAGTCTAGATTTGGAGTTTGTGGCAAATAGGAGGTAGAGATAAGAGACATGGATATATAACTTTCATGGGTTAAACGAAGTGCCAACTCTTTTAATGATGATTTAGCTAAACAAGGGGTCAATAGGGATTCTCATTTTTGGGCTCAGTTGTAATTGTAATATGTATCTTTAGTAGTTTTCTTCTTGAATCGGTGGCTGAGTCTTTAGGTCTTCCTCTTGGAGCCAACCCTAAGGAGAGCACATTTTGGGCCCCGGTTTTAGAAAAGTTTGAGAAAAGGTTAGCCTCGTGGAAAAGGAACTATATTTCTTCAGGGGGTAGAGTTACCTTATTGAGAGCTTCCTTAGCAAATCTGCCGATTTATTATTTCTCTGTGTTTAGGATTCCAGTTAGGGAAGCCAAGAAACTAGAGAAATTAAGGAGAAATTTTTTGTGGGAGCCAGGGGAGGAAAAAAAGGATCACTTTTTTTTTTATGAATGAAAAAAAAAGGATCACTTGATAAATTGGGGAATAGTGTGTAGGAGGAAAGAGGAAGATGGATTGTGACTGGGCAATTTAGTTTTGAAGAATAAAGCACTCCTAGGAAAGAGATGGTTCCTAGAACAGGAGAGACTTTGGCATGAGGTGATAGCTAGCATACATGGCAGTTTGGGCAATTTAGAGTATTCTTCCTCCTTTCCTCAACTATATTAGGTATGATGTCAATTTTGGTACTTCTGTTTTGTTCTGGGAAGACATATGGGTGGGCAATTCTGCCCTTAAGGACAGCTTCCCTTCTCTCTATTCCATTTCTTGCTACAAGGGTAAAATAATTTCTAATTTTCTCCCATCACCTAATTCTCCATCTTCTTTGAGTGGGGACTTTGGGTTTCGTAGGGGTTTGAGGGATCATGAACTATCTTATGTTTCAGACCTGTTGTCATTGCTTGAAAGTGTTTTTCTGGACCTTTCCAGTTCTGATGTGAGACTTTGGTCTCCAAACCCAAAAGGTTACTTCACATGTGCTTCCTTTTTCAAGTCCCTTTGCTCTCCCTCGGGACAAGTGGGGTTCCCAGCTAAGGAGATTTGGCCTAAACCTGTACCTCCTAAAATTACTATGTTCTGCTGGGTGGTTTTCTATAGGAAAATCAACACTTCAGATCTACTGCAGAAGAGAAGGCCTTCTATGTGTTTGTCTCCTAATTGGTGTGTACTTTGCAGGGCTAATGGTGAGGATTGCTCTCACTTACTTTTAACTTGTCCCTTTTCTGATGCTACTTGGGGTTGGATCTTTGCTTTGTTTGGTTGCAGATGGAATATGACCACAGCTATAGATCAGATACGGGGCGTATCATATCGGTATCGATAGGATAGGATACGGGATATGCTACGACTGGTACGATACAGGTCCAGTTGTGCGTATCGACAAGATACATATCAGTACCGGTGTGTATCGCACTATATCGGCCGATACAGACCGATACGTTGCGTTACACGCAGATACGTGCGCATCTCTTGTCTTGTTTATAAAATGCTCCTATGAAGATTTGAACTCAAGTCTCGGCACCCATGCTACTGCGTGCTACCATTCTAAGCCACTGCACTATCATTCAACGTGTAATATTAAGTGAAATAAAATACTCTTTATTAACTTTACCATTAACATGAACCTAGATAAATATATTGTTTATGTTCAATAATTCTAACTTAAAATAAAAATTAATATTAAAAATTACTATTTTATAAACATTAATGAAGCAAAAAAACTATCAAACTTACATTTATATCAAAAATTGTTTTTTACTCTCAATAAATTATACAAATAAAAATATTAATAATAGATAATTATTTTAGTTCTTAAATTTCATAAATTTGTACATTATATGTATCTTCAAATTTTAATATTTGTTTATAAATTATTCATTGATATTTTAATTTAGACTAAAATATAACATATTTATTACTTACAAAAATTAAAAAAAAAATGTTTACAAAATATTCAAGAATATACTATTAAATTAAATTTATCAAATTCACTAATTAATTTATATAAAAATGATTTGTTATTTCAGAAAAAAAAACTATAGAAAATAAAAATGTTAACAATGGAATCGTTACTTTAATAATTAAAAGTTATGAATTTCATATATGTATCTTAGAAATTTTAATAATTTTGATATACTTTTAGTTAAGATTAAAAGTAAAAATATGATAATAATATATGTATCTTAGAAAAATTATAAATTTCATATGATAGTAATTTTGATATTATCAAATATTTTAAAATTTAATATTTAATTGGCTTTTTTTGTTAATGTTGAAAAGTAAAAATAGAAAATAATTGCTATAGTAATTAAAATATAATAGTTGCATATGTTTTGTGTCTTGAACTTATATAATTTAACATAATAATGGTTTTGTGCATGTTTTACTTTGTAAAAACTATATAATATGAGTCTTGGGCTCTTGATTGTTGGATTATCAACAAAATTGTATGATATTTATGTATCTTGTTATATTAGTAACATATTTATTTATGTATTTATGCTTTATTTATGGCTATTTTGGCTTTTAAAATTAGTGTAATTGATGTAATTACAAAATTTGTATCATTTTTCTTAGCGTATCCATGTGTTTTCATATCTTTCGTCTGCATCCATGCGTTTCCAAAGCGTATCCGTATCCGTATCCAAACTGTCTGATATGATACCCGATACCGATACTTTGATCCTTGATATCTAGAATAGTCATCAATAAAAGTAATGAAATATTTATAGCCAAACTCTAATGGTAAAGTAACAGGGCCCCAAACATCAGAATAAACAATATGGAAAGGAAAATCGGACTAGCTTTGTTCTCCAACATGTAGAGACCATCCACCCATAGTTGTCAAGGCGCCTAGGCAAGCCTAGGTGACCACAGGGCTGGCGGCGCCAGCTATTTTTACTTTTATATTAGGGTGACCCAACTTATAATAAACAAGAGAGGAATTACAAGAGTGCCCCTGCGGCACTAGCTGATTTCAACATTTGGGTTGGCTATAAATGAAGTAAATTGTGTGACTGTCTATATGCTTATATACATACATACATTGTATTTATATACATAAAAGATAAAAAAAATTATATTTATGCTTTGAGGTTTATGCCTCTTCGGCGCTAACCACCTTGCTTCCGCCTTTATCCTTTTAATACCTAGTACATTATATATAATATATTATAAATATGTATATTATTATTAGAAATACTATATATATATATATAACTGAAAGTCGAAATGGTACCTTTGGTTCATAAAAATACTGAACTGAATTGGTCGTTCGGTTAACAAGATTTTTTATTCGGTTTCCTCGGTTCAGTTTTTCAGTTTTGAGAACCTCTACTTAAGCCCCCAACCTTGGTGGCAGCACGATTTGATCCAGGTCTATACTGCAACCAGTCAGATATCCTACTTACTGAGTCACCTTCAGTTGGTGAGGTGAGCAAAATATTGGGCTTATTATTTGTAGGAGGTGAGGGGTTTGCTAGAAGGGCGTTCAGGGAATTAGAAGAAAAAAGAGCATTGTACGGAAGAAGAGCGAAGAGGGGAGATAGGAAGGGAGGAGAGATTGCATTAAAAGAAAAAGAAAAGAAAAGAAACATATTTTGAATGATAGTTAATTGTTTGTAGATTGAATAATGGTCAGTTCTTGGATAATGGATGATGTGTGGTTTTGAGAGGCTGGTAGGGAGGGGTGTGTGATTGTTGATTAGGCACTTTGAAGTTGTACTTCAACTTTTATTGGGGGGGGTCTTTTTTCTCTTTCTTTGGGTGTTAACTTATCACCTCATCTTGTATTCTCTTTCCTCTTTTCTTTATATAAATTTTCTTTTTTTGTTTATTACCAGAAAATACCATAGTATGAATTGTGAATTCAAATTCTAATTGTGTTTTTTCATACTGAATTAAATTAAAAACATTTGAGTAAAAATGCAGTACTTACTGTTTTTCAGTATCATTAAAAACATTTCTCCAGCTGCAGGACTGTTGGATGAATTACTTTAATTAGCCTAAAGAGTAAAAGTGGTTAAAAGTGTTTTATCAGTTTTTTTTTTTTTTTTGAAAACTTGAGGTTCAAATTTATAGTACCTTTTTTGAAGCGTAAGTTTTGTTTGCTTCTTTCAACTGGCCAACGAAAAGAGGAAGGATCATGTTGAGATGTGCAAGATCTGCTGTTTGCTGGACTATTTGGGAAGGAAGAAACACAAGAATCTTTTCAGACAAGGAAAGAATCTTAGAAAATGTGCTAGAAGTGATCCACATAAGGGTTGTACACTGGCCAAAAACTCTAGATTTGTTCAGACTTCTCAGTGGCTTTGCCAAGCTGAACTTTGATGGACTCTTCCCAGCTACAAAGTCTTCAAGTCCTATATGGACTCTTCCTCCTAGTGGCTTCGTCAAGCTGAACTTCGATGGCAGTAGTATTGGAAATCCAGGGCCCTTTGGAATTGGGGGAGTATTAAGAAATGAGCATGGGAATGTAATTGCTCTTTTCTCAGGCCCAATTGGAGCAGGTGACTCTCTTAGGACTGAAGTTCTGGCAGCTTTGGAAGGGTAAAAAGAGCTAAAGACTTGAATATTAGTAAGTTGATCATAGAAGGAAATTCTGAGCTAGTAGTGACTGGTCAGAGGAAGACAAAAATGGTCTCTGGAATTACAGCAATGAAAAGAGAAAGTTTAAGTGGCTGATGGACATTGATGTAAAATGTACTTCTGTGTTCTGGGCCCAGCTGTAACCGTAATTTATTTCCTTCGGGTGGCTTTTGGCCTCCTTGAGGAGTTAAGAAAGTTCAGCTCCCTTCTTTTGTTTTGCTTTTGGTGTCTCTAGATAGTTGAGTTAACTACTTGAGGAGACTGAGATCCTAAATCAGATTTGGTTTTAGAAAGCTATGGCCATTTTATTGGCACAGTCAGTGGATGATGGGATTATTAAGAATTTATCCAGTTGCTGCAACAAAAACTGATGTTAGATGTGCTGCCTCCTACAGAAATCTAATCTACTGCTACTACATCTCTTAGAAGGTTTCTTTTTTTTTTGGGGGGGGGGATGCTATTTTTGTTTGCTTGTGAATAAATATTGTTGGTTTGATTTAATAAGAATACTTCAGTGGAGATTATCCTTTCAATTAAATGAATATTTTAAGAAAACGGGTAATGCAACTTTGTAACTCACTTCATGTTGCCAAGTCAAATTCATAGGTCATTAAATCAATCTACTCATTCATTGAAGTTCATACACTTGAAATTTGTTGATCATGGAGCCCTTACTAGTTGAGGAAGATGATTGCATTGAGACTCCTTGTATTATTGGTAATATAAGTCTTACTTAGGGGTTTCACAATGTCATAATCATGGCTTTGACAATTATATTTCTCCTAGTCTTTCCATATGCTTATTCCAATCTCTGCTTTTTCAATTGTTGTCTTCTTGACGAACAGGGCAACTCGATGGATCTGGGTTCATAGAAGAGTTTCAGGGACAGCATGGTATTCTGAGAGAATGTATTGAACAACTGAGAGTGGCTGAATCATCAAGAGCAAATCTTGTATCTCATTTAAGGGAGGCTCTTAAGGAGCAGGTTGGCTTTCTAATGAACTATTTATCTTAAGAAGACTATTATGATGATAGGAACTGTTATTCCATTTTATATTTCTATATAAAATTTATTTTCTCTTTTAGGAGAACTGACAGGGATCTGTTTTCAGGAATTCAAGCTGGATCAAGTGCGTAATCAACTTAAGGTATGAGCTTTGTCATTAAAGATTATATAAACCGCAGTTATCTGATCAATGAGCTATGGTCTGAGAAATTTAAATGTTGATCCATATGTGTTTACAAGTTTTCATGCTGGCATACAGTAATGGGATTCCCTGCAAGCAAAAACTCTGCACACATTCTACAAGCTTGGGAATGCAGCTTCACATTGGGAACATTCCCCATACATGTATGGGGGATTTTCCCAATGTGCGGCTGGATATCTATATTCCCAGCTTCACAGAGTTTTTGCTTGCAGGAGATGCAGGCTCTATAGTAGGGGCTCATTTGCTGCTTTTGGCATTCGATGATATTGTTCTACATTGACCACTCGGTAGAAATACTGGACATCTGGCCTTGGTATGCAATTGAGCTGGAAAACATTTGTAGGAATAAATTCCATTCTCAACACGTATGGTTTGTTGTAAAATCTGACAAATTATAATGCTGATAAAAAGGTCCTTTCAGTCACTTTTATGATTATGTTGGTTTGATATCAACAAACCATTGAACTGCTGATAAAAAAAAGCCATTTAACAATAGTTGTGTTACCATTGAAAAGTTGAACCTAGAAGGGAGCTATGGTTGGTCAAGGTTCTGACACAGATAAACATAACTGTAAGCAGAAATTTGTGCTTTGTTGGTGGGTTTGAGTCTTTGCAGTGGTTGTCAACCTTACTAGGGTTGCTCAAGCCTTTGCAGTTGTAAGCAGTTCGACCACCATCCTTACCCTGGATTCTTCTCTTTTAAAACTAATAACCGTATTGGATAATTTTACAGAACTGAGGTTATAGTTGGTGCTACTATTAGCAAATTCATTATCTCGTTGATGTACATATCTTCAATCTGGACCTGAGTTTGCAGCCATTAGCCAAATTTTACCAATAAAAAAGGGTTGTTCGTCTGGATACTGGTTCTTAGGGGTGTCAATTGGACTGGATTTGGACCTATCCGATCCGGTCCAGTGTGAGTCCATTATAAATGGACCAGGTCCAATCTAGTCCAATGAATATTTTGGACCATTTTGGACCGGTCCAATTCAATGTCTGGACCATCCAATCTGTTCAAATTTGTTTTGATTTAGATTGGTTTCAACCCATACCTGATCCATTGACACCTATATTCTCATCTTTAATCAATGGAGCAGATATTGGCTTAATCCAACCCAATTCATTATAAATTTATTACAGATGGACCAGGTCCAATCCAATCTAATAAATATTTTGGACCGGAATAGTCCAATCCAATGTCTTGTTGGTCTGTCCAATCCATCCAAATTGATTTTGGACTGGACGGGGTCCAATCCAAAACCAGTCCATTGACAGCTTTACTGGTGCCTATATGCCATTTTCCATCCCTAGGTTAGTCATGGATATTGGCCATAAGTCAATCTGAGTAATCTGTGTTACTTATAATACATGTTCTTTTGTTGTGTTTCTCAGGTTGTTCAGTCTCGATGTGACCAGGCGGGCAACATCTGCCAACGAATACTAAATGCTGATGGTAGGCAGTTGCTAGCTGAGCAAAGGATTAAGGAAACAAACACCTCTGAGGCACCTCCAAGTTTCATTCCAGAAAATGCAGCGTCTTGTGGGGATAAAGAACAATCTGCACCTGTCATGTATGCACAACAGGGATCTTTCCCTGAAAAGCCTGCGCACATCGAAGAAGACCCCCGTAAGTCTGCGGCAGCAGCTGTGGCAGCAAAACTTGCTGCTTCAACTTCATCAGCTCAGATGCTCAGTTTCGTGCTTTCCTCTCTGGCATCAGAGGGTGTAATTAGCAACCCACTAAGTGAATCTTCCAGTGATTATCCTCCAGAAAAGAGACCTAAACTTGAGAGTGGTGCATCTTCTTATGGAGCACCTCAACATGCTCAACCACCGCTCCCACCTTTTCCACATCCTGAGTCTCTCCAAAACATGGTTGCTGTTACCTCCCAGCCATCAACTCCCCATCAACAGCTTCCTTCGTCGTCATCTCCAATCTCACATCCAGGTCCTTCCATGCAGCAGCCTCCACTACCACCATTACCACCTTTGCCTCCACCTCCAGCTGCTCAATTCATGCAGACAGTTGGATCCATGACAAGTGTACAATACAGCTATGGTACAGCCCCGCAAAGGCCACCATCTATGCCTGGCTATGCAATGGTAGGGGTACCTGTTACAGGTGGGCTTTCCCACCCATCTCATTCTTACCAAAATTTTCAGGTATCAGAAGGTGGATTCTATAGCCAGCCGCCCTTGCAATCGACAACGCCATCCATTTCACGTCCATAGATGCCGAGGTCTTCAGGGGTATCTGGCGGAAATTCATGTCAGACATGGTTTGTCTTTTTACTGAGGAACGGTGTTGATTCTAATCTGGTAGTTGGGGATTGGGAGTTCTTATAACACTAGTACATATTTGTATATTAACTTATATCTTCAACCATCTTCACCTTTATAAAGTTTATTTCTTTGTGGGTATTTCCAGCTGACTGGTTCTCGAACAATTCTAGCGTTTGCTTTCCTTCAGTACACGGTACACTGTAGATGATGTATTGCCTGATTTTGCCAAACAAGTTCACTTAAACTACAGTTAAGTGATAATGTTCTGGAGAATCTGCCACTGTTCCGACTTCCGAGAGTTGATGGTTGAAAGTTGAATTTGGATGGTTCAGAGCAAGGTTCAATGTATTGACATGTATCGGCCTGCATCGGCTGATATGTATTGTGCTGGTGGCTTCTCGATACATCTCTACAGGGGTTGTATCGGATCAGCCACTGGTTCAGAGGGTAGTCGGGCCTTAAACCAGCCCCTCTGAACCAATTCCGGTTCAAGGGAAACCCATCGTAAGGTAGTTAGGTTCTGTTTCAACTTTCAAGAGGAACTTTAGGCCCTGTTTGGCATTGCTTCATGGGAATGTTTCTTGCGTTTCAGACATTCTTACAGAACAGGAACGCGTCTGATAATGCATTCCAGAGAAATGAGGAAATGAGGTCCTGAGAATGATGAAACAACTTGTTTTTGAATGAGAATAAGGTCCTGAGAATGCATTCCAGAGAAATGAGGATTTTGTCATTTCTGGAACATCAAAATTTGGAATGCGCTATTCCGCGGCATTCCTTTAATATAACGAACATGTTTATCTACATACTCGCATGTTAACAAGAATATTATGATAAATTTGCCATAAAAATTACTTTTGGCCTTCTAAGCCCTAATTCGTCTTCCGGCTTCCTCCATTGACAAACCTCTCACTGCAAAACCCTTCCAACTTTTTTTTTTCACTGGTCTTCTTCTACCAACACACGGAGAAGGATTAAAAAACCCAATCGATCGATTCCTTTCTTTCTCTGGCAACAAGAACCATCCACATAACACCGTTACCTTGATTTTTCCTTTAATACCTAGGTTTTTTCCTATCATTCTAGGCATTAACAGCAGTGCTTGGTTGGTTTTGCTATTGCTACCATTATGTATCGCTCTGTTATATTTTGTGCTGCTTCTTGTATTTGTTTGAATTGGAATGAACATTGGTGGAAACAATGATGAAGAATTAATCTTAAGAATTATGTTTCTGAGGAACAGATTGCGAAACAAATAAGCTATTTCTTAGAAACAAGAAACGAAATTCCTGTTTCCTTAGCAACAGAAACAGTAAAGAATGATGTCAAATGGGGCTTAAGTTCTATTAATTACCACTTCTTTTGGCTCCATGGGGCTGCAAAATGGGGGTAGACCAACCCCAAACTCATAGCATAACCCTCGAACCCTAGTGCATGTGGGATTTGATCTCAGGTCTTTGCAACAACCAGCAAGAGACCTTACTTAGGAAGTCAATGGCTGCTTTTTTGGGTTCATGGGACTATATAACGGGGATGATTTGTCCTATTATATGGCTGCAAATGGATTGAGCCGGATTAGTTACTTATAGGTAGATCAAAATTTGATTCATTTAGGCTCAGTTTGGAAGGAGCCTATTATTTTCCTTGTATTTATAGTGTACATATTTATAGTTATACTCCTTCCAAACCGAGCCTTGTGTTTGAATCTGAATTGAATCTTATCCCTAGAATTTATGTCGGGTTCAAATCAAATTCGTATTTGTAGCATATTGATCTTAGTCTTTACTTGCCCTTGAAAAAGATGAGGGAAGAACAAAGAAGACATTAAAAAAGGTAAAATAGGTGCTACGCACATGAAGAGAAACCAGAATGGAGGATCATGACATTGTCTATACTTGTATAGTACAGATCGTACTTTAATTAATAAGGAGACACGGTGAAGGTCTTTTTTTAAAACTAGTGGGGAACTCCAATCGATCAAATAAATACTGGCTTGCCTTCACTTTCTAGCTATTGTCTTTCTTTTAGGGTTTGCAATTTGTAGTTTGTACCGTCTCTGTCTACTTGCTACTTCCTTGGGTAATGGTTGCGCACTTACACTAAAAGCTCTTAACCCCCCCC